TTTTGGACAAAGTCGGAACATCTAGGGGGGTACTTTATGGGAGGACGTTTTTATATTTTATGGAATATATCCGTTATTTAGGTTTGGAGAAAAAAATTGTTCAAATAAAAGTTACTTCTAATATTATTATCTATAATTTTTGTACTATACAAAATTTTCCTAAAATGGTCCGTATTCGAGAAATTTGACAAAATGTAAAAAAAATATTTTTTTATAAAAATTGTTTAAATAAAAGTTGTTTGTAATATAATTCTCTAAATTTTTATTCTATACATAATTTCTCTAAAATGGACCGTATTTGAGATATTTGAGAAAATGTGTAAATTTAGAATTTTGAAGAAAACTCAAAAACGGATAAAGAAAAAAACATTAAATTTTAAACTTAAAGTTTATTTCGGCCTGAAGTGAAATGATTATAATTTGGACAAGGGGGGTACTTTATGGGAGGCTGTTTTTATATTTTATGGAATATAGAACTAAAAGTTGTTTGCGATATCGATCTCTATAATTTTTGTTTATACATGATTTTTCTAAAATGGACCGTAATGGAAAAGTGCTAAATTTAAATTTTTCAGTATTTTCGTTTTCAATGAATATCTATAGAAAAATGTTTCGAGGTAGATGTATGTGGACAATGTATATATTTAGTTTATCCTCTAAACATTTATAGAGATGCTGCAATAGGTTGTACAAAATAACCGGAAAAAGCCTATAAAAACTAGATAGGAAAGTCATGTGTTGGACACATCAGATTTTTAATACAGGAATCGTAATTAAACAATTTAAAACTTCAATTATAACACCTATTTATAAAGCTGGTAATCCAAAATTAATAACTAACTATAGGCCTATTAGTTTAATTAGTAATGTGGCCAAAATATTTGAGAAATGTGTGAAAGATAGACTGACAGATTTTTTAAAAAATAATAACTTACTTCCCAAGCACCAATATGGCTTTGCTGAGGGTCTTAACTCAGGAGATGCTATGCATGAATTGATTTCATTTGTTACTGATGAAATGAATAGGTAACAAGCTATATTTCTAGATCTAGCAAAAGCATTTGACACAGTGCCACAAGAAGCTCTTAAATGTGCTTGAACAGAATGGAGTGAGGGGCATCATGTTGAAGGTTTTTGAAAATTATTTGACACACAGATAACAGAAGGTAAAGGTCAGAGACAATGTGAATAACCCTGAAAATATACAATTCGGAGTGCCTCAAGGGACTGTTCTGGGACCTATATTATTTAATTTATACATTAAGAGCTTAACTCAGATTGATATTCAAGGTAAAGTTGTATCATATGTTGATGATACAGTGCTAGTCTTCAGTGATAAAGATTGGGAAGCTGTCAAAACATGTGCTATAGCTGGAATGGAACATATCTGTTTTTAAATTGTCTTTGAATGTTAACAAAACAAACTACATTGCTTTTTCAAAGACAGTGGCTGATCGACCTCAATTTAGAGCTTAACATGTCAAAATTTAGACATACAGGAAACAGAAACATCCAAATATTTAGGTATAATTATAGACCAGCACTTAAAATGGGACTGCCATATAATATATATATAGCAAAAAACGATTTCTGATTTATAAATTTTATCTTCTAAAACAATTTCTCAACCAGGATCTACTAATAACATTATATTACAGTCTAGTAGAATCTATACTACGGTATGGAATCTTAGTATGAGGAGGCCTGTATGGAACTACATTTAATCAGTTAAATGTTATTCAAAACAAAATCTTGAAGTTAATATATAAAAGAGATAGATTGTGTCCCACCATAACATTATATAAAGAAAAAATTAGCAATGTTAGATGTTTATATATTGTTGTTATATACAAAAAAATGAATTTTGAAAAAACCCTTTAGAACTGCATCGAACATGTGCATTAAAGTACCAAAACCAAATAGTGAGATTTTTAAAAAAAGTGTAAAATATTTAGGGACAAAGTTCTATAACGCTCTACCTCTTCATATAAAATTATTAAACAAATATAAACAATTCTGTAAAGATAGCAAAATATACATTTTCCAAAATAATACAAAGTTTATCAGAATATTCCAAGAATAACGTACATAATACATGAATTTTTATTTGAATAGTTTTTTTTTCTGTTTCTTGCATAAATTGTTCAAGTTTTATTAAAAAAAAAAAAATTATTTCCTTTATAATTCATTAAATATAATTAAAATAAAATTTTAATTTTTGTCAGCACATACAGGTGTTCTCACCTAGGTGCTTGTTATTATATAATTGGTTTCCATTATTGTACTTCATTGTAACTTATTTATTATTGTAACTCATTGTAACTTATAACTATTAAACTATAACCAATTCCTAAAAAAACTTCCAAACATTCCCTCTGTGGTATAATTCTAGAATTGGGAAAACCAAAACAGAACGTGCAGATTCATCACATAGCAACCAGAGTGCCTCATGGAAATGGTAAAGAAGAACATGCAATGAGAATTCTATTTCATTTGTTATAAGCAACACTCACAGTTGAAAAAAAAAATGGAAAAACTGGATAACAGTAATACCTGAAATAAAGTATAATTTAAACTCAACCATGCATTCTGTACCTGGTTATACACCAACCATACTGCATCTCAGTACAAATATAAGACAAGATGTAGCTGATAATTTGCCTGTCAGTACCACAATTAACTTCAGATAAATATTAAAATGAAATTGATATTAACAATTATATAATACAAATTTTAGATATTAAGTTTTTAGATAGGACTTATTGGTTAATTTCAGTAAAACTAATACATAATAACAAAAAGTTTATAATAGTACTGGAGTGAATTTATTTCTAGACTTTTTTGAAGAATGGTGTGGTAAGCTGAATTTAACTGATGCTAACTTAGAAGTTATATTGGTTGGGAATTTCAAAATTGATTGGTTTAGCAATTCGTGGTACTCAAAAAGATTAACAAATATTGTTACTGGTACAGGTTTTAAGAATACAAGCACAAATACTCATGGAGGATCATTAATTGATTTAATTATTACAAACTCAGACATTAAACTGAAGTAATAGACACACCAAAAATTAGTGGTCACAGAAATATTATTGCAAACCTAATAGTTATTGAAAGTAAGGATAGATTCATTGATTACATAATATTAATGGAAAATATAGATTTTTTTTAATGAAATTTTGAAAATTGTCAATGAAATGGTGGAATGATCAGGTTAGAGCTGTTTCATTTTTAAAGGTGACACAAAATGTTTTATGCAATTTTTATATTTTTGGGATAATACATCTATATACCAAGTTTAGTCCCAATAATTCAACTAGAACTGAACCCAACCAAACCTTCTTTAGAAAAAGGTGAATGGCATCTTTTGACAACCTTTACAGTATCTCTTATAATGCTTTAGTAAATCGTTTGAATTTGAGCTATAGAAGCTATGGGGTGTCAACTGTAAATGGGTTAAGTACCAATAATTAACAGTACTATTTCTAAAAGTACTTAATTATCAAAAAATTATTTATGAATTACTCTATGGTAACCTTAATCCCAAAACATTGTTTATGGGGTCGCGACATAGGCGTCCATCTTGGACAGATAGATAGATATTTATAGATGTAAAATAAAAATAAATATTTTACATGTGTCAATGTTAAAAGTATAAAAAAAGGTATAGATACAGAAAAAAAATATATAGATACACATAACATATTAAAACATACTTAAAAGATAAAAATTAAAAAGGTATATTCAAAAAGGTTTACACATTATTCACATGCACAGATGGACACATGTGTTAAACATTCATCAATGGAATAAAAGCAGTGACTCGACAAAAATTTGTGAATTCTTATTTTAAATAAATTAAAAGCTGAATTTTTGTAAGCTTGAGGTAGGGAATTGTACAGTTTAATGCTGATATATCTATAAGAATCATGAAGTTTGGTTAATTTGTAATTAGGTAAAGATATATCATAATTTCCTCTTGTGCAATAAGTATGTTTAGAGCTCTGTCTTATAACATTATTATTACCAATTTGTTTTTTCCAAATGTACTCACAATTTATAAACATTGTTAAACTAATTGCAAATAACACCTGTTTTTTATTTAAATAAAACTATATATTCTTATTAAATACATAAATTAGTCTCAACCACAATTCTTTTTGTGTTTAACTTCTAGTGACAAAGTCTATATATAAAAATTATTACTAATTCACAGTCTTTCAAGTTTATTATTTAAAAAGACCAGTTACTACAAAATATGCTATTGTCGACAACTAATTTCTCTTTAATAATTGTTTTGCATTTATCAACATTTTACAGCACTTTGTTTATATGAGACATCTATATCTAGCTCTTAATTAAATCACATTTACAACATTTATTATTAGAACTTAGTCACTATTTTTTTAATTTAAATTTTTTAACTGTGGTAACAGTCCATTTACCAAACCACAAACTTAGTCACTTAAAAATGTTGAAAGAGAATGTCATAAGGGTAAAATTCCTTCTTCTATGATGTTGTCCATGCAATTTTAGGTTGTAAACGTTTTGTCCAACACTTTTTTACAATTTATCCAAAGCTACACTATGAAAGATTAAAATCCTGCATTTACAGCATTCAGTTTTGAGATGAGTGCAGTCACAATGCAGTTTCAGAGATAATTTTCACAAAGGCATGTAACTATTCATTAAAGTGGTAATAAAATGCATAATTTGGTATAAAAAAAAGCACAAAATGTTTTTAGTTTTAATTCCACTACAAGGAAAACAGTGGTTCATTCCACTTGTACCATATTGACATTATTATACACTTTAAAAGTAGATCTGTTTCTGTTTTTATATTATAGTAGGACAAACGATAACAAACTTAAGCTGACTATTATTTTCCCCCTAGCCTCATTCATCCCCTCATCCATTTACTGGGTCTATGTCGCGACCCCCTTAGATATACCCTGGTTTATAAAAGAAAATATAAATCATAGAAAAGTTATTCCCCTTACCTGTCGATCATGGTACGTGAATCTGCCATAAGACCTGAAACAGCACATCCAATATGTTTGTCGACTTCTACAATCTTCTCGATAGTAGTGGGTTCCATCAGAGGGGAAGTTATACGTTTTTCAACTGCTAAAACGACACCCTCGCTTGTGCATATTCCAATAGCGGTTGATCCCAGTTTAATCGCTTCAATGGCATATTCGACTTGAAATAATCGCCCTTCTGGAGAAAAAGTATTTACTCCTCTATCGTATTCACTTCTCGTAAGAAACATCTTAAAATAGAAAAATGTAATAACTAGGTTAGGATCATGACAAAGCTTTTAGTAAAAATCGAGAATATATAGGTACTAAAAATAATAATTATTAACACTTACCTTAAAATAAATTACAAATAAAGGTATAAATTATTGAAATTATTATAGATATAATTAATAAATGTTTGAAATACGAAAAACTGCAAGTAACAAGTATTTAGCCGACTGACGTTTCTGTCTGTGTTTGTCAAATCAAATGTCAAATGTAGTGTTTCTTCTTCACTTTTATAAGCAATTCTGATCTTTTACAAACAGGTTCACGTAGCCACATTTCCAGTATTGGGTATTAACATTACAGGTCCGTATTTAAAAAATAGAATTCACCTGAGTCGACCTTGGGTAAAACGTCCTTGAACGAAAATCGAAGTGCAATTATATCGCGTAAATTTAGAGATGGATTGTAACAAATGTACTTAACAGTAGAAGTACTTTCTAATAGGTAATTATGATGAAAAAAAAAATCAGTTATGTAAATAAGTAGTATATGAAACGGCCACTTAGACATTTTTTATGACAAGAAAAAACAAAAATCAGCAATTATTAAATATTACTATTATTTACATCACCGTAGATTGTAAACTAATCGAGCTATCGACTTGATTTCTTTATGATAAAGTAGAAATATGACAGCAAGTTTCAAAAACTATTATAAAATAATAGCATGCACTAAAAACTAAAATATATAGATTTATTTTAAAAATAATATTAAAATATATATAATTTAATTGCAAACAAAATCAATAATTGTAAATTACTTATATGTAGACAATCGCAGGTATGTACGAGATTGTTGAGAGATAAAGGATATTTATTTAACATATTTTTTTAAGGGGACTTTACTTGCTCACATTGTATTGTTATATAAAAATAAAATCAATTTGTATGTATAACATTTATTACGATCCATACTACTCATTATTGAGCATCATTTCGAGGAGGGTTTCATATTTCTAAAGGACGTCCAGCCATCTCAGCTTCATATAACTCATTTTTCTGAAACCCAGGTCCAGGATACTTTAAAAAACATTAAACCTAAACGTACCACAGGACCGGATCATATTCCTGCGTTCATTTTAAAAGATTGTTCAGCAGTATTAGCTCGCCCTCTAACTATTTTGATAAATATCTGCCTTAAATCCAATACAATTCCTTCGATGTGGAAATGTTCTAAAGTCTGCCCAATTTTTAAAAAAGGTGAACGTACTGATATCAAAAATTATAGGCCGATTTCTATCATTTGCAATTTCTGCAAAATTCTAGAAATATTACTGGAACGTAGTATTTATCAACATGTTTGTAATGCAATCTCAGCTCAGCAACATGGTTTTGTTAAAGGGCGTTCCACAGTAACAAATCTTTCTGTGATCACACAGCAAATAGCTGAAAATATTGATAATCGGGTCCAAACTGACGTCATCTATACGGATATGACAAAAGCATTTGATAGACTTGATCATAATATTATGATACAGAAACTCTGCGCATTTGGTCTTTCTAATAGTTTGATCACACTTTTTCAATCGTATCTCTCTCAAAGAACACAATATGTTCAATTAAATGGATTCAAGTCTAACAAATATTGCGCCACCTCTGGTATACCGCAAGGTTCAAATTTGGGTCCGCTGTTATTTAATATTTTTATCAACGACATTGGTGACGCTATAAATGTTGATTATTTGCTGTATGCTGATGACTTAAAAATATATTCAGCTATTGAAAATATTTCTGACTGTGAACAGTTGTCGGAAAATTTGAACAAAGTTGTTGAATGGTGCAACAAAAATGGTCTTACACTGAATCCCGTCAAATGTAACGTAATGTCATACACATTAAAAGCGCATCCAATTAAATTCGATTATGTCCTTGATGGACGTTTGCTTTCTAAACCCAACAATTTTATGGATTTAGGGGTTACATTTGACCCAGTATTGTCGTTTAAATACCACATAGATAACATCTCAACAGCTGCAAATCGTATGTATGGATTCATAGTACGAGTGGGCCGTGATTTTAAAAACACAGATACTATTAAATCATTGTATTTCTCATTTGTTCGATCTAAACTCGAATATGCCTCGTTTATTTGGGATCCTTATTATCAAATACACATTTGTCGGATAGAGTCCACACAAAGGCGTTTCCTCAAATACTTAAGTTTTCGGGCAGACCAAATTTATCCACCCATTGGTATTACTCAAAATGCTTTACTGACTAGACACAGATTGACAAGTCTCGACGTAAGACGAAAGTACTTCTCCATAATTACCCTCTACAAAGTTGTTAATTTTAAAATCAATTGTGAAGCTCTTTTACATATGCTTAATTTTAGAATCCCACGCGCAACCTCTCGAAACACTGAATCATTTTACATAGCGACTCCTCGGACAAACGTTCTGAAGTTTTCACCTGTATATAACATGTGTAATAATTATAATAATATTAGTGAACAGTTGGATATATTTAATTGCAGTGTTAAAAACATAAAAACACATTGTTTAAAATAATTTTGAATTTATTTACTGTAATTTTAGATTAATTATCTATATGCCTTTTGTTAAACTGTTTTCTTTCAAATGTACTCCTGTTCTGTAATTGGGTTTAACCTGTTGAACAATGTATAAATAAATAAATAAATAAATAAATAAATAAATAAATTTCTAACCACCTTATAAACGAGAGTCGAGAATTTCTGGGAAAACACAATAATTCATATAAAAACATTGGAGTTTTCTTTGCATTCTGTTATGCCAGAAATTATTGTCTCGTTCAATTTTTTCCACTAAAAAACCCAGAGGGGTACACATCACGAAAAAACAACATTGCCTTTTTGTTATGTGAAGCTGGCCCTGGACATGGTAGAAATAGTTGTGTTTTTGTTTCAAACGTATATTATAATTGTACTCAATTATTACATATTTTATAATTTTTTGCCTTATTGCATCTTGCGATGTTAACTTTGAAGCAGAAACAGGGCATTTAATTTCATTTATACAATCAGTTCCTACCAGGCCATTAGGACTAGCCCCTAAAATAACATAAATCCAGATCGACAAACAAAACCACAATTTTTGACATGCATAATAAAGCATCTATCTTCGTTCGATACAATGCGATTCTTATGTAATGTCTCTCTCTATTCAACATGTAATGAATAAAATAGAAAGTGACATTACATAAGAATCGCATTCTGTGGAACAAAGATAGTCGTCTCAACACGTGTTGTACCTATTGAGAGATAAGAATCCCAATGCTGAATGCATGAAGGTGTTTTGTTTATTACACTCTCAAATAAAAATGACATAAAAATCAAACTAAAGGTCGCCACAGTACTTCATAAAATTATTATTACATTTTATCACCAATTAGTTTTTATTTTAGTTTTTTATAGAATAACGTAATGTTAAAATTTTTATAAATTCAAAGTTATTTATTGATTTTTACGAAATAATACAGGAATTAAACATATTTCTTGTTTCTTATTTATTGTATTATATTTTTCTCTAATGTACTATAATAAATTAGGCACCCGTACTATAACAGCTTCCAATACAGTTGGCAACGTTGGTTGACAGTACCAATTCAGTGTTGCCACTTGTAATATAATTATGGAATTGTAACATAATTTTTCTTTAAAATTAATAAAACTGTAATGTGTAACTTCGCAGGTTTTATTCTTATTGCACGAAATCAAAGAAACCAATTTAACTAACAAATTAAAATTATTTTATTTAATCAGTTCTGACTCTTCTTGGCAATTTATAAAAATCTACATAAATGTTACCGTACTTGGAAAACGTATCTTGCTACAACTACACGGGGTTGCCTAGAATTGTAAATCCGGAAAACATTAAACTACTGGTACAAAATTTCCCAAATTCGAGACATATCTAATAATTTCATGTTTAAAGAATTGGCAAATTTTGGATTTGCTAGTAATTCCCCATTCAAAATGGCGGCTGTAAGAGAACATTTTTAAAGGTCAATTTAATAAAAGCAGATGTTAGAAAAAGACTGTAGAGTGGTACTGTAAATTCGCTATTATTAGCCTCTCAAAGTGCTATTTTATTTTTTATTTGATTTTTTATGCGATGATAAATAAATAAAAATAAGTATGACGTGTTTTTTTTTTCAAAACAACAAAATAAAGAAAATTAACATAATTTTCAATATCGACTGGTGGCAACACTGGTACCAATCATTACAGAATCGTAAACAAAGCCATTATGGATGGAAAATATGTTTCAGGCAAACAAATTGTGACAGTTAATTACCTGGTTTATTTATTTATCTATTCAAAAATAGTATCGAAAGTATAAATAAGAAATTATTAAACACTCACCTCTAATTCAAGTCGACGAAGTCTCATGTTCCATTCGTTGTCTCGTTTTTCCCATTCAAGGTCCAAAAACCACTTTTTCGCGTCACCCGATATATTTAGTTCCGGACATCTTCTGTTACCGGCGACGATCTTTCATTCTGACCTCAATACTCAACGTCTCATTCCGTTTCAATAGCAAGCCTTCAATGCCTCCAGGTTTTTATTAAACTCAATTTTTTTTACTTGGTAACCAAAAAATTACATTATATATCTTGCATATGAATTTTAAAGGGTGAACTGTAGAATAACAACATATATGATACCTATACATACAAGGTGTTAAAGATTAAATAGATAGAACTCTAAAAACTATGATAAAAAATATTCTAAAACCGTCTATTTTTATGTTACAAGATGTTAAACTTAAAAATAAAAGAAAAGATAATTCCTTATTGATTAATGCTTAAATTGGTGGATGATTTTTATAGTGCAAGTGCTTTTGTTAATAAAAAAAAATTAGAAAAATTTTAAAAAACTACAAAAGTCTATCTATATTAAAAAAATACGGTTTTCTCCAAATAAGTTCATTTGAGTTTAATAAAAATCGTAGAACCATCGCCGGCAAGTATTTCTGCAGCCTTGTCCGTTCGGTCCGTGCAGAATTTACACCTTCGAAAAACTAAATCCTGCAGAATCATTTTCCGCCCGTACTTTTTCCACAAAAAATAAATTCGTAAGGTGTAAAGTTCTGAAGATCCAACGTCTTTATTGTCAGATGAAACGATCACATATACACCACATCGTCAATGTCGATACAACAGACAGAAATATGTTTCTGCGCATGTGTTCCATCGGCATAGACGATGTCGACAAACATGAGTTGTTTTCGAAAATAAAAACTAGTT